TTAACTTAAATATGAGATATTACAAAGATGCCCTTAGTAGGGCGGCAACTCAAACTAAATAGTTACAACTCTTTTAAAAGTAAAAACTAATGGGCCCAAGGCCTAACAACTTCTTAATTTAAAAGAAAACAAACTAAACACAAATCGGCCCATTCAACATTAATAATATATAATATTTTGATCATTTAAGTTTAAATAATTAATTGAATTCATTATCCAAAATTGTCAAAGAATCATTCAATGTAAAAGCTTAAACTGTTAGGTGAGGTTCCTAAATAGGTTTTTATTCTTGAACACGCCCCCTCATGTGAAAGTCCATTGGACTTGAAGTGTGGAAAAACACAAACCCACCATACCATGTGATTAAATTTGATTAATTATAAAGGGGGCTACAAGGATCAAACACTAGACCACTTGATTAAAAAGGCTTTGATACCATCTCAAGGAACCATTCAACTTAAAAGCTTAAGCTATTAGATGAGGCCTCTGAATAGATTTTTATTCTCTAACAAAAATCAATATGAAATCATTCACCTCATTATTGTTAGTGGTTAACAATAAACGGTTATTAACTTCACTGGCTTATTTTTATAGATATTGGTAGAGAAGGTAGTCATTGAAAATGATGATATCAAGAAAGGAATTGTAGAGCTCATCGCTCAGTATGGAATCAAAAAGCTTGTCATGGGAGCAGCGGCAGACAGGCACCATTCAAAGTATGAACTCCACAAAAGAAATTTAAATTCACTTCTTGGCCTTTATGCATGTATTAATTTTTAATATATCTATATATTATTATTTATATATATATATATATATATATATATATATATATATATTCTCTCATTACGAAAACTGCAACATTGAAAAGGCAAACATATGATCACACACTACACTGATTGCTCAGTGTGCAAGTTTAGGGGAAAAAGTATAGCAGATCCGGACTCGCTGCAAAGATTTATAAATTTCAGCTGTTTAATCATCAGTTGATTATCTATCAATATTGCAGTGTATTCCAAACAGCAACTATGAGACTTGAACTTTGTGACTCTTCAGTAAATATACAAAATTCAAACCAACAACTGCTTCTTTTTGTCAAATTCGAATTCAGACAAACAGAAACAGTTTTCATCCTAGACACTTGAGATTTATGATTTAGTGGACCACCTTTTTTCAGTGCAACACTTCTTTTTTCCTGCTAACACAGCACCATTTGAATATTCAACTATGAATAGACTTGGTATAACATCTTAGTAGTTCAATTTAATAATAAAACAAAAGTTGATTTTGTTGTTGGAACATTATAAGCTTCATGCCTTCATCTGAAGGGAAAAAAACCAAAAGAAATTGCATACCCCAAACGTGAAAATTTTTCATTTGAAAGTTAGAACTTGAATAATTGTATTCATATTCATCTTTGACAGAGAACTCCGAGTTAGTTATTCATTTGCCAGAAAATGTAGTACCCCTGTATCCATCTAAGCTTTAGGACGCATCAATAAATACTGGGCTAAAGCTCAGTTCAAGTATTGGACTGTTAGACGAACTCATCTAAGCTGTTTCTAACTTAAGAGAATCTGCCATTAACGTTCCTGGTTGATCTTATTTAGTCGAGTATTGGAGAAAAATGACACCTCTTGTTGTTTGTTTTCTTATAATTAAGAATTAGGCAATCCCAGAAGATTTTTTTAATAGCAATATTACACATGCAAAAGGTAATCCCAGACATTATTTATTACTTCAGGCGAATGACAGAGCTCAGATCCAAGAAAGCAATCTTTGTGCGCCAAGAAGCGCATGGTTCCTGCCATATATGGTTTGTCTGCAAGGGGTTTCTCATCTATGAAAGGTATACTTGATTTAAAAACAAAACATTTATCTTATTGATTGTGTTTGTCAGGAGATTTACAATAGAATCAATTCCAAGCAGGGAAAGTAGTATGACGTGCAACGGATCAGAGGTATCACCTCCCATTCTTCCAGCCAGTCCAATCTTAGATGGAATGGGCCAAAGGGAATACATGAAATCCCTATCCTTTCCACAGGCACAGAACAATCGTGTAGCACTTGCAAACCTGGATATAAATAGCTTTCAACAAGCAAGATCCGTGCAAAGTAGCACTCATGGAGGAATAGTTACAGCATTATCTTCTCCGTCGGGGTCTGGAGTACTGCCAAAACCACGGACACAATTGCGTAGGGTCGAGATTGAAGGTGAAGTGGAAGGAACATCAAGGAGCGCTTCTCAGGGTTCAGAGGATTTGCCATCGTCTTCAAATGAAGAAGCATCAATTGGCATCTCAGACTCAATACTGGTAAGAAACAAACAGGATGACTCTGGTTAGTCTAACAAAAGTTTTGCTCAATGCAAGGAAATCTATCATTTACCAAAGCCCGTATGAATTAGGGGTCCGTTTGGTTTGTGGTTGGAATCAAAATCCTCTGGAATTGGAACCAGATTGGTCCATTACCATAATGAGTTTGATTCAAACAGGAATTGAAATGGGAATGCGAATTAAAATCAGCAGGAATAGGATTTCATTCCCAAGGGAGGGGCAGGGAATGGCCATTCCCTCAAATGGGAGAATGCCATTCCAGCAAGAATGGGAATGGGATTCCGATTCCGCCCAACCAAACAGTTGGAATCGAAATAGTCCATTCCGATTTGGATTCCAGACCCCTATTCCTGCAAACCAAGGTTACCTAGTGAAGTGGAAGAAACTAAAATGAAGTAGAGGAAAGGAGACTCCATAGCTTATTTGACAAGTGAAACTAACATAGAAAAGAATGTTGACATAAAATATGTACAAAATTTTTCCTCTCTTATTTTCCCTCCTCTAAAATGTAGAAAAATAAGGGAAGGACTGGATATATGAAAGAAGCAAAAAAAACACTCTGCTCTCTCATTTTTAGCCTTTTTTCCTTTTTCTCTTCCTTTTCAACTGCTCTCTCAAGTGGGTTGAACTAAACCTAACTTTTAGAGACTCAAGTGCCTGGGTTGTTGGCTAGCTAATATCTGGAACGACTTTTGGACTTCAGCAGGAAGAAGGAAAAGGAAATGCTGATATGTACGATCAAATGAAAAAGGCCATGGCGGAAGCTACCAATGCAAAGAGAGAAGCATATGAAGAGTCTAGAAGGCGTCAAGTAGCAGAAAGAGCCGCACTGGAGGCTAAATGCACGGTAAATCATTCCGACTTCCGAGTTTCTTCTTCTTCTTGATAGGACTTGGGAGTAAAGTCATGGTGTTTTTTTAGATAAACGGGAGCAGAGTCATGGTTGCGAGAGAACCTTTGCTTTGTCCTCAGTTGCTTCAAGGGAGCAGCGTGTGTGACATTGAATATAACTATAGAACCCTTTACTTTGTTCTCATGAAACTCACCAGTCACAACCAGATTTTTACAGGCCAATGAGTCAGAGACGTCTTACAAGAGGGAGCAGAAGAAAAGGAAAGAAATCAAGGAATTACTTGCGAAACAAAAACAGGAACTGGAAAACATGAAGAGCCACCGAGACCAAGTGATGGAAGAACTTCGGATAGCTCAAGAACAGAAGTCAGAGCTGGAGCAGAAAGTGGAGGAACTGGAGCAGAAGATCGTATCAGCTGTGGAGCTGTTGATAAACCTTAAGAATGAACGAGATGCCTTGCTGGAAGAGCGTGACCATGCAGTCAGAGAAGCTGAGGAGCTGAGAAAAAGGAGAGAAGAGCAGGCTGCAATGTCGCAAAGCTTCCAGTTCGTTTCCGAGTTCTCTTTCTCAGAGATTGAAGAAGCAACTCACAACTTCGACCCGTCCTTGAAGGTCGGTGAAGGGGGGTACGGAAGCGTCTTCAGAGGACTCCTTCGTCACACCCAGGTGGCTATAAAGATGTTGCACTCTAATAGCTCTCAAGGCCGCATGGAATTCCAACAGGAGGTAATTAAACATTTAAAACCTGCAGGTTCCACTCTTTATACTCCCATGATAAACGCTACAGATGTGCAAGTTTAGTCATCGTCAATTGAAATGATGAGTCGTAAAAAGCTCAGTCACCATTGGTCTCTGGATTCAGGTGAACGTTTTGAGCAGGATGAGGCATCCAAATCTCGTTACTCTGATCGGCACCTTCCCAGAAGCTTGGTCGCTCATATACGAATACCTCCCCAATGGGAGCCTTGAAGACCGATTGACTCGGAGGGATAACACTCCTCCTCTGTCATGGCAAACACGGACCCGCATTGCCGCAGAAGTATGCTCAGCACTTGTGTTCCTCCACTCCAACACCCCTCAGAGGATTGTCCATGGAGACCTCAAGCCTGCAAATATCCTCCTCGATGACAATTTCGTGAGCAAGCTGGGTGACTTCGGGATCTATCGCTTAATCCCTTCTGGGGGGAACTCTGCCCACGCCTCCATGGCCATGCAATACCACCGGACCAACCCAAAGGGCACCGTCGTTTATATGGACCCTGAGTTCGTCGAGAAAGGAGAGTTGACACCGATGTCAGATGTCTACTCGTTTGGAATTGTGTTGTTAAGGCTTTTGACCGGGAGACCAGCCATGGGAATAGTCAAAGAGGTGCAGTATGCGATAGATAAGGGAAACTTGAAAGCAGTATTGGATGAATCGGCAGGGGAGTGGCCTTTTGTGCAGGCAAAGCAGTTGGCTCACTTGGCGCTGAGGTGCTGTGAGAGGAACCGAACGAGCAGGCCCGACCTTGCAAATGAGGTGTGGAGGGTGCTTGAGCCCATGAGAGCTTGTTGCGGAACTTCGTCGTCATTCCGCCTACGTTCTGGGGAGCATTGCCGGGTTCCATCCTATTTCATTTGCCCCATTTTTCAGGTCAGTAATACCAGATTTCCGGTTTGGTAGAGAGTAGTCTGTAGTGGGCAAGAATCTCATTTTGTCGGTAACGAATTAGGATCTGCTCGTCACACACGGTGCCTCACGACGATTTCACATGTTTCCAATGCACAGTGAGATGTGCCTGTGAGGTTGGTGTCAGACGCCATGTGTGAGGAGCAGATCCGGTCTAGTCGGTAACACTTCCCTATCCGGACCCTACCCATGGACCATGGTACATTGCACCTAAACATCTCAATATACAACAAGATGGCAATGTATGGAGTTAACATCAGCCTCCATATCATAAGTACATCCACCATGAATCTGCTCTTCACACACGGGCGCCTCGTAAGTACATCCACCATGAATGGGAAACATCTCCTGTGAATAATAATTTATAAGTACGAGAGATGTTTTCAATGCATGGTAAGATGTGTGTGTGAGGCCGGTGTGAGACACCCAGTGTGAAGAGCAGATCGGGTTTCTATTATGGGGCGATGATGTGTATTCCAATGTGTGCCTGCAATTAAGATGGGTAGAGTGGAGGTCGTATCCGCGCCCCATATACATATCACAGCATCGATTGGGAACATCTCTAAATAGCGAGTGATGGGCAGGAAATCCGATTTGTATAATCACCGCGTTGTTTGGAAGAAAAACTAACCTTGATGGTTGGAACTTGGAAAAGCCCAAACTAAGAGATCGTTTAGCAGGGCTGAAGCTTTGATTGAATTACTTTAAGCCATTTTGAAGAAGCTAAAGAAGTTCACCGGAGAGCCAATCTTGGTTGAAGGACGAGGTATTTGAGAATTTTAGATCTTTTACCAAACATAATTTATAGCCCGTCCATGTGGGGCCCACCTCATAAAGCCGATGAATGCCCTGCCAAATGGCAAATGGCTGAAGCGCGGTAGCTTATTGGCTTTCTAAGGGGAGCTGGGAGCACCACACGGACAGCCTATAAACTATATTTGGTTCAAAATCCTAAAAACCCAAATTAGCACTCAGTCAATCATTTGAAGTGCTTTCTGATATTCTGCATCAGAAAGCTTTGAATATTTTATTTTGAGAGCCTCAAAGTACCTGAATCTTCAGATCAGTCCTCCCAAACGGGCCCTAAAATTGAAATATTTGGTTCTAATGCCTAGGCTTAACCATGGATTAATAAATTTAATAAGATCAACACCGCAACAACTACCAAACGGTTATAGGTCAGTGATTTTTCAGGTGATTGTAGCTAATAGTTTGATGTAAGTATGTAACTACTTTGGACGGAACTCGAGCTTTTTGCAACATCACTCAAATATCCAAAACCATTATACTGCTTTTTGCAATTTTAAAAATAAAAAATAATTAAAATAAAAAAGCCAAAACCATTATCCTGCTTAAATAAGCACTTATTTTGGGCCAGATTATATTAATAAGCACTTATTCTGAGAGTAACTTAAATTTCAGGCTTATTTGTAAGTACACAGTCATTAAATGATTATTTCCTTTTTAGCCTATCTTGGTCTCCACCACATTATATTAAAAATACCTATACTATTTCTAGTCAAAATAAATGTTTTTTCACCAAACGCTCATAAGTGTTTATTAGAATCAGCACTTGTTTTTAAGCACTTATTTTTCAAATAAGCAGTCCACTTTGTTCACTCGCTTTGCTCGCAGCACTCCTTGCTTGCTCAAACTTGACCTTAATTCGAGTCTACTTTAATTGTTTAAATATAGAAAAATTTAAAAACTTTTATATACAATAAACTAATATAAATATAAAATGTTGAATTTGTCTTATATAAATTTATATATAATATAACATAATATAATTAAATTGTATATTTTTATATTTACATATAATTATATAAAAATTTTATATACTTAAGTCAAAATATTATTATAATATAATCATATTATCTAAATCCATAGAATATAGGTATGAGAAAGTGTGAATAAATGTTATTCGATCAACAGAGCATTTTCAGGAAGTGTAAAATGTGATAACTGACGAAAGACCAAGTGCCAAGCTCTCTCTAGGTTATAGAGGTATAGGTATATGGATTATTTCACTTAGGAATTTTAAATGCAATCTCTTAGTAGTTCATAAGGTCTATACGAATCTGAAATTACAGTGAAGAGTACTTTACTCATTCACTCACTCAATTCATAGGCCAAAGGGATTAAAAAAAAAAAACAAATGTTACAGTGGAGAGTACTTAAAAACAAATGTTATTCTAATTGGATCCACACATGGAATTGGGATTTGATCCTCACAAGACTGCTTACAATCTTTTGGAGCCTTGCAATGGAAATATCTCCCCATTAAAAAAATATGCAAGTATGCAAGTGTGGAAATATCCCCACTGGATGGCTGTAAAAGGAGCACAGTGTTGTGAACACTAAAGCCAATCTCCCACACATGGTACACCTATTTTCCTATTATTAGGAAGTCTCCAAGGACAGAATTAATTAAGGGGGCATTCTATTTTTGGATTTTGAGAAGGGGGAAAATTGGTCAATGGGATTTTGGTTCCCATTGACCAAGAATCTCATGTTCTTTTTTCAGATTTATGTGGGGACCAAGGAAAGTTTATTTTCCTGGGTATCACTTATAGGTGGGTAAATAACTTTCCCACCTAGGGGAAAAGTTACCAACACTTGAATGGGACAAAAATGCCCCTTTTAATAATAGATTTTTATGGCTAAAGGCTAAAGTGGCCATTGCCTTATTTACATGAAAAATAAAAGAGCATGGGTAAATGCACTTACTCAGGTAAGTGTTTCCCAAGAAAAACTTACCCAGGTAATTGCATTTACCTGGGTAATTAACTTATCGAAAAGTGGACAGGGCCTAAAACGTAAAAGGACTGGTCAGTCGGTAAAAGTTGTTACCATAATTTAACTTGAGTTGGGGCTTTGGTCAGTCAGCAAAAGCTGTTACCAAAACCTCTAGTCTAGGAAATAAAAACTTTACAGGGGTAAAGAGTGGAAAACATTCAATCATTAACAAAAGGCAAAGAGCGTGAAACCGTCTAAAATTAAAACTAGGGAAAATTAGTACCATGAACCTTAGGGTAGTGTCAAGTTAGTACCTTGATTTCAAAACGTGTTACTGTAGCATCCAAACTTTCGAAAACTATCAATATAGTACCCATCATAACTGACGCATGTGATGTCACATGTGATTTATAACATTCTGAACTTCTAAAATTACCCTTTTAAAGAAGACAATGTTCATTGTCAATAACGGAATGATCAAGTGCTCTTCCATAAGTTAGCCAAAAAACAGACGAGAAACCAGAAACGACTTTCCTTCCTCCAACATATATTACTGCATGCCAACCCATGGCTGTTGAAATCTCTTGAAGTTCATCTATAATAGACCTCGAGTCCGAATCATAGATAATTACATGGTTTAGCTTGTTTAACAGTGGCTCTTATTTATTGGGCTTACCTAGGTGGAGCCACCTGGGGAAGGTACTGGTGGAAGAAAGGAACCAAAGCCAAGCCAATACCAGGGCCAAGAGGATTCCCTGTGTTTGGAAGCACGAATCTTATGGCTGGCCTCATGCACTACCAACTAGTAGTTAAGGCAGAGCAATGCGGAGTCAGTCGGCTCATGGCTTTCAGTCTCGAAGAGATGCGTGCCATTGTCACTTGTAATTCTAATATAGTGAAAGAGATCTTAAACAACTTTATCTTTGTTGATTATCTTGTGAAGGAGTTAGCTTACAGTTTGATTTTCAATCGAGCCATCGGATTCACTCCCTATGGCATTTATTGGAGAACACTGAAAAATTGCTACCATCCATCTTTCTTGCCCAAAACAAATCAACAGATCGAAAGAGCAGAGGTTACGAATCATAGATAATTCCATGGAAATTGAAGTCATTGAAATTTGGAGGAGAAGCTCTAAGGCGTGTCTGAAGACACTATCTTTAAAACGTTATTTGCCTCCACTCAGTTTCATTGAGTTTGTTGTTGGGTTACAAGCAAATCTGCTCACAGAATACAACAAAACCTTGGGCGAGAGTCTACAACCAGCAAAGTTGAAGATTCTCTGAAGAAACATTCTGTGAGACAATAGCAGATCTAATAGAGAGAGAGACAAGAGTGATTTTCGTAAAGCTTGTGTGTGCATTTGCTTGATTCACTCTCCTTAGAAAATGTTCCTTGAATAGTCACAATTTCAAACATTATAACTGTTAAAAAGGTAGTTAACAGTTAATGACTGTTAACTTTGAATAGTGCTTCTAAAGCACTTGATCAAATTGTGACCGTTGAAACATCAACAGTCAGCCTCGCACTAAAAGTCAAAGTTGCCATTCACAAGCAAAGTGTGCCTCTAAAGCACCTCATTGTGTCGCACACACGTGCACACACCCATGTGCATGCATTGCGTGGTAGCAAGCCTCCATACTCTCCTCTTTAAAGTCTAAATAAGCTTTTATTTAAAAACTCAAAACAAGTTTTGTAATTTCCCAATGTGGGACAAGTTGAAAACTGGTTTTAGTAAGAGAAAAAAACTATTTTCCAAGACATGTGTGCAGGTGTGCTTTTCATGTAATTGATCATTGGATTTAATCTCTAATGAGATTAAAATCCAACAATCCCTCACTTTGATTGATCAATTACATATGTCTCTCTCAATCCAAACTACTATGACATAGTTATGCATACAAAATGTGTTTTATAACTTAAACCTTTTATTAGTACAGATATCTCAGAGCCTTGTCAAAGTTATTGGTGGCAAGACCTTAAACTAATTACTCTCAAGACAGACCAGAGATACCCATACACATAAAAATGTTCAGTCTCTGCATGAGTTTCAAATTTTTGCTTAGCATTGTTATGACCATACGTTTCTTTCTTGGTTTCATGAACAATCCCAAGAAAAAACCCAAACTCTCATGAAAAGCGACATCACTTCTATGTTTACGTAGGTGAAGTTTTACCATGTGTTCTGTTACTTGACACATTTAAGAACATTATTAAGAGTTTGAAGTTCTACCATGTGTTCTGTTACTTGACACATTTAAGAATTTTATTAAGAATTTAATTCAATCTCTCATCATAATGGACATCACTGTTTATGTTGTGATGGGAAATTTCTTAATGTCAGTACTAACAATCACATTGTAATAACTTGTTGTTACTTATTAAACACAATGCTGATGTTTTCAGTTTAGGTCGGGTTACCATTATTGGTGACTTCGTAAAGGGTTTTAATTTCATCTCTTTAGTTGTTCTTCTTACCAATTCTCTAGGCAAACCTTTGGTAAGAGGATCAACCAAGTTTTTACTTAATTTCATATAAGTTAGAGTGATGACTCCATCTTGAGTCAGTTGCCTAATAAATTCATGTCTGGACTTACTATTATAAGTACCACCATAGACTTTCAATAAAGTTGTTTCACTATCATAGTAAATGGAAATTGAAGGCATAGGATTAGGCCAAAGTTTTATATTCAATAATAAATTTCTAATCCATTCAACATCTTTCCCAACAGCCGCCAATGCTATGAATTTGGATTTCATGGTCGAGTGAGATATACAAGTTTGTCTCTTGGATGCCCAAGAGATCGTACCCCCACGAAGGACAGAAATCTGTCCAAATATGAACTTGTTATCTCCATTACTGGTAATCCAACTTGCATCAGTGTACCCTTCTAGTACAGCTGGATAATCACAGTAAAATAAGTCAAGTTCCAAGGTTCTTTTGAGATACCCAAGAACTCTCCCAATTGCCTTCCAGTGCTCTGCATTGGGATTACTTGTAAACCGACTAAGTTTACTTACTACAAATGCAATATCAAGTCTATCACAAAGCATAGCATACATTAGACTTCCTACTGCACTAGCATACTCAAGTTGTGCAATTGCTCTACCAAAATTTTCTACTAGCTTTATACTAGAGTCATATAGTGTGTTATATGCTTTAAATCCTAAATGCTTAAATTTCTCAAGTATTCTCTCAATATAATGTGATTGGCTTAGTGCATAACCTCTACTATGCTTTTTAACTTTTATTCTCGATTTGGTATCTACTTCTCTTAAATCTTTCATCTTGAAGACAGAAAATAAGTAATTTTTAGTTTCATTTATGCCAACCATATTAGTACCCACAATAAGCATGTCATCAACATAAATACATACAATCACACCATAATTTTCAGTAAACTTTGAGTAAATGCATCCATGGTTTTCAAAATTGGACCAGACTAGATGGTTTAACCGAAAAATAGGAACCAGTCAGGTGATCGGTTCCATTTTACCCTAGAACCGTTATTTTCCCAAAACCATTGATTTGGTTAACAAACCGTTGACCCGGGCAGTCAAACCATTCGAACCTTTTTTATTTTTATTTTTTTGTCAGAATTGGCCGTCTGTTCGACTCAAACAGCTAAACCGTTCACCCGGGAACCAGACCCTAACCGGTTTGTTATCTGGGTTGGTTTTAAAAACCTTGAATGCATCAGCACTATTATGTTTAAAACCAAAATCTAGAATGCAAAAATCAAATTTCTCATGCCATTGTTTGGGTGCTTGTTTTAAACCATATAGTGATTTAACCAATTTATAGACTTTCTTCTTATTTCCAAGAAGAACAAATCCCTCTAGTTGTTCCATATAGATTTCTTCATTTAAATCCTCATTTAAAAAAGCAGTTTTAACATCCATTTGTTGAATAGATAAGTGATAAATGGATGATAGTGCTATAAGTGACCTAATAGAAGTTGTTTTAGCCACTGGCGCATAAGTGTCAAAGTAGTCAATCCCTTCTTTTTGACTAAATCCTTTAGCTACCAATCTAACCTTAAAAATTTGTGTAATCCATCAATATTGTATTTTCTTTTAAACACCCATTTACATTTGATTGGTTTTGATCCCGGAGGCAAGTCAACTTGTACCCATGTGTTATTTGACTTTATTAATCCATTTCATCATTTATAGCTTCCTTCCAAAAGGCAGCATCTCTAGAGGTCACAACCTCATTATAGGCCTTTGAACCATTTTCAATGTTTAGTACAATGGGTTTCTTATTTAAAATCTTTCATCTATCAATCTCGACCAATAATATAATTGACTGAGTAGAGATAAAATCAGAACCTAAGTTTTTCTATGTTTTTTGTTTTTGACTTCTTCTATGTTCTACTATAGGTGTTACAGTTGTGTCATTTCTTCTTTTAGTCTCATTGTTACCAATAGATATTAAGATCTGAGTTTCTCTTCCTAGTTCTCTATCATTTTTTGTGGATTCAGAACATAGTTTATTTTCAATGAATCCAATATCTCTAGTTTCAATTATTATGTTGAACTCTAAATTTAGAAGCCTATAGGTCTTGCTATGTTTTGCATATCCAACAAACATGTTTCTTTTTGCTTTAAGTCCTAACTTGGTTCTTTTAAGGTCTGCAACTTTGTAATATGCTAAGCACCTCCACACTTTTAGGTATACTAAGTTAGGCTTTCTTTTTGTCCATAGTTCATATGGACACTTATTATTAACTCTAGAAAAAATTCTGTTATGTAAATGGTAGGTTGTTAGGAGTTCTTCCCCCAACAGGTTTAATTGTGCATTAGCTTTCATTAGCATATAGTTTATTATTTCTGTAAGTGTTTTGATTTTCCTTTCGGCTAGGCCATTATATTGAGGGGTGTAGGGAGCAGAACTTTGATGTACTATTCCAAATTCTTTATAGAAAGAATTACTCATTCTTAAAGTACTCAATACCCCTATCACTTCTAAAGATTTTAATTTTCTTTTCCAATTAATTTTCAACTTCAGTTTTGTATAGTTTAAACATGTCAAAGGCTTCATCCTTAGTTCCCATAAGGTAAACATAGGTGTATCTTGAAAAATCATCAATAAAGCTTATGAAATATCTCTTACCTCCTCTAGTTAATACATCATTGAGTTCATAGATGTCAGAATGAATTAGTTCACAAAGATAGGTGTACTCAGCACCCTCTCTCTCTCTCTCTCTCTCTCATTTTCTTTTGTTTTCTCCCTTCCAGTTCTTCCTATCCCCTATCCTCTCTGTCACCACCGGCTCTGTATTACCAAACAGAACCCCCACTGAACTTCACTATTGAAATAGTTGTACCATTGTTTCACCCCCCGCCCNCCCCCCCAAAAAAAAAAAAAACGAATCCAAATCTGGTGATAACCAATTTTCAAGTATTATTTTAGAACAAAATCAATTAAAAGGGGGAGAGAGAGAGAGAGAGAAAACCTTATGAGGGAAGCTAATGGAAATCCTCGTAAAGCAATTCGAGAGAATGGACACGGTTATCTTTAACAAATTTTCACTAGGACGTAAATATTCACCGTCCTTCAACTTCAAAACGTGTCATTTTCACAAAAGGGCATTGTAAAGAAAATTAAATGATGTTCAAAGGGCATTTGTATCATTTCACATGTCACTTAAAGTGACATACACTACGAATACAAGTGTATACAGATGCGTATCGGCCTGTATCACATTGCATCGGCCGATACACATCGATACAGAGCCGATATGCGTTGCATCCATTCAGAAATCTCTATAAAAAATTGTGAATGAGGTGATTCGAACCCAGCGCCTCACGTGCAATAGAATTCGCAGCATTTCCAAACCAGTAAATGCTAACTAAAAATTAAGAAATATATATTTAAAAATAGTATTTTATAAACTAATAGAATAAATCATGTATGAAATCCACATTTATATAAAAAAAATGATTTTTTATGTCAAGAAATTTATACAAATAGAATATTAATAATAGAATAATTATTTTAATACTTAAAATTTATAAATTTGCACATGATATAAATCTTAAAATTTGTATATACTTTTATTAGTTATTAATTAATATTTTAATTTACATTAATAAGTGATAACAACATATTTATTATTTACAAAAAAATAAAAATATTATATACAAAATATTGAAGAATATAATATTAAATTGAATCTATCAAATCCACTAATCTACATTTATTTCAAAATACAATTTTTTATTTCATAAAAGTTATATAAATAAAAATATTAATAATGGAATAATTATTTTAGTAATTAAACCTATGAATTTGTATATGATATGCATTTTTTAAATTTTAACAAATTTGATATACTTTATGTTAAGATTATATTTTTATAAATTATTAATTGATATTTTAATCTGCACTTGAAAATTTAATATTTAGTTGACTTTTTCTTAATGTTAAAAAATTAAAATAGTAAAATAAAAATAATTGATATAATAATTAAAAAATATAATAGGTGCTTATGTTTAGTGTCTTGGACTCTTGGTTGATGCACTATAAATAAAATTGTGCATCCCGGTTTATTAATCGTAATATATTTCTTCATATATATCCTTAATATTTACATTTTTATTTATTTATATACTATGTCGTGATCATTTTGATCTTAAATTTCGTGTGATTAATATATTTATGAAACTCTTGTATTTCCCTAGCGTATTTATGCGTTTTCATCTTTTTCGTCCATACTCATATGTTTCCAAAGCGTATCCGTATCTAAGTTGTCCGATACAATACCCAATACCGATACTTTAATCTTTGCTTAACACTATCCCAAAGTAATTTTCTCTAAAAACTTAAAAGGACTGGTCAGTCAAATCTAAGCATATAAAGAATTTGGTCCTTGATGAAAAGCAAAGAGCCTCTAGGAAATAAAGAATTCACAGGGGTAAAGAGTGGAACGCAAGGTCTATTCTTAAGGCTTAGTTTGGAAAGAATACAAATACAAATTTGTAGAATGCAAAATCTTATATTTTGCATTATTTTATATATTTACACTGTATACATTTGTATTTGTATTCCTTCCAAACTGATCCTACTTTGTTATATAAACTGAGTGTATATACACATTTAATTGCAGCACCCAACCAGTTTTTTACTCTTATTTCTGTTATATTTGAAATTGCAGGAAATCATGCGAGACCCGCATATAGCAGCAGACGGATATACATATGAAGCCGAAGGGCTGAAAGCATGGCTGGACAGTGGCCATGATGACACTTCACCCATGACGAATCTTAAGCTTGCCCACCGGAATCTTATCCCCAACCACGCCCTCCGCTCTGCAATTCAAGAGTGGCTGCACCAGCCTTGAAATTTTACCTTTGTATCTTCGTTTCTTTCATTTTTCATTTACATGTTTCCATCATATTACAAATATTTGTGTCTGTGTCTCTTTTGTGTTTTCAGTAATGCCAAAATGGTGGTGATACGTTGAGTCCAAGGTGTCAAAAAAATCTTGGGATCCAGAAACTGGTAAAAATTGAGAGAATACTCTCTTTGTAAGTATTTTACAAAAGATGCAAATAAATAATAGGATAAATTTATTAAACTATCTTTATGATTTAGTTAATTGATTAAGTGTAAAAAATTGACTAACAATATTCCTATTGTTTTACCTTTTAGACAGGTCTCTCTTAATTCACGGCTATTCCGCTGCTCAAATGTTAATGAACCCCACTGCACCTTTTAAAGAATAAATGAGTCATCGGTGCTCTCCATCTCTGTTTTTAATACACCGCTTGCCATCATCCCTTTAAACCATACCTGGTATGTCACAGACGCTAGCAGATCTGACGAATTATAGCTCTAAAACCTCAAGAAACCAGCATCAAAAGCCCCTTTCGTCTTGGACCGTCCGATCTCGACCGCGAATACACAGACATACAAAGAGAAATATATACTAGAGCGACGGAGAGGGAAGCAGATGAGCTCAACCTTGTGATTAGCCCTTCAGTCCAAGCTCCCTAGCAGCTAGCTGGACGAGCACCGCTCTAAGAAATTGAGAAGAAACCATACCTGGTATGAAGATTTGGGCACAGACACTAGCAGATCTGACTCTAGACCAAGTTCTTTACTGGCAAAACAACAAGGAGAGTGGATATTTCTTGGCCGCTTTTGATAGCCACCGGTAACACGTCACTGAAGACGAGTGAAACACCAACCCATCGCTGAAGTCGTGGAAGAGATCACCGGTGTAGCCACTGGCACTGAAGACGAGCGACGACGCATGGTGCCGGATTTGGCAGGGATCTGTGGAGGGCTTGGAGGTGAGAGTGAGCTCTTTGATGCCTGAGATGATGCTATCATTTTTAGTTCATCGTCTTCTGTCTCGGATCAACTGTTCATATGCGAAGGGCTCGGAGGTCGATGGATCAACTGTTAATCATCTTTCGTCTCTGATCAACTGTTTAGTTCTCTCTCTCCACAACAACTAATGAGTTTCTTCAGTAAAATTTCTTTTTCATGAAAAGGAAAAGATTACCTGTAGATGGAGATTAACAAGCTGATCAATCTCCATTCGTCTCTTGGTTTTCAGCGAAACTCACACTCAAACCACTGTCTCTACTATCTGTCGACGGAGAGATTTTAGGGATGGTATTTTAGGAATGAAGGTGGGAAGGGTAATTTCGGAATTTTGATAAATATATTAGTCATATGATATCACAGAAATTCAATGAATGCAAATGACAGGGTAGAGTCGGTCAATTGTCAAGAATAGCATTAGTCAATTTTTAAACAATAAAAATATATTTAATTAATTAGATAAACCATAAGGATAATTTAAGAAATTTACCTTAAATAATAAAATTATATATATTTCATATTTGACTAATACAGTTTGTAGAGGAATTGATTGGATACATCGAACCAGTTTGAAGTTAATCAAAGTTTTGGACTATAGCCCACAATCCGAGTCTACCAACACCTCGCAACAATGATAGGAAAAGGTTCTGAAATTAAAACAACAGGGAAATGATTGAGAAATATCCATGCAATTGGGCGATTGAGTCTTAATTCCTTCATTGACTATGAAGCCAGTCTACGGCTACATGTCCTTGTCTATATGTTTGGGAGAAGACCACTAGACTCCATCACAACAGTACATAATTGATTTAATCTGTCTAATGTTTGGAGCATATTTAATATACCATCACAACAGTACATAATTGCATTATTTTGTATGTATTTGTACAATACATATTTATATTTGTAGTCTTTCCAAATTCAGCCTAAGTTTTAATATGTCTGATGTTTGGAGATATAAGGATCCATTATCAACCCACCCAAGGACCAAAATTAAACATTGTTATACCATCAGTTTAATTGGGTTTAATTAGAGCATCTCCTTAAACTAAGGAGAAACTTCATAAATGATGATCTTCATATCAGATGGTTGATTTTTTTTTCTTTTGAAGGGCCACACAATTAGGGATAGCCCATTTCCCAACCCAACTAATTTGGATGGTTGAACTGTTGACTTTGGCTGTGAAAAGACATTAAGATCAAGGTTTATTTGTTTAGGTTTTTCGGAGGAACATTAGATTTTGACGAGGAAGTGAACCCTCTACTCTATAGTTATAATATGGATCAGCCTCCTCCTTGTTAATCTTTACAATAAGGGATATCTTAATTGATAACATAGGTAGTAGTGAAAGTTTTGAAAATTGATCAAGCTACATTATAATTGATTCGAAATGTAGCAGCTCAAGTTTTTTGTAGAGATTGATTTGCTAAAGGTAAATTTAAATTAATTACTTAGGCTGTGTTTGGTTGCAGTGCAAATTTATTTGCACTAGTACAAATGCATGGGAGTGCAAATGTAAAAAATGCAAATTCTTATTTAATTTTGTTTTGGATTTTACTTTATTCTGTTTCATGTCTTAATTTACTTCATTTGTATTGCAATCAAACAAAATAAGCTAAAATTTGAAACAAAAATAGGTTAGAATTTACACTTGAATCATTTGTAGTGCTATGATTTTGCATCAGTGCAAATTTATTTGCAATTGAAACCAAACACAGCCGTATGGATTGGGATTAGAAAGGATATTTTCTAGCAAAAGATTGAATATAAAATATGTCCAAGTATGGCACCTATTGTAATAAACAAGAGCAAGGACTAAAAATGTGATCATCTGGTTCTTGTGAAACAATAAAGAAAAGATAAAAACTATTTTTAGACCAATGTGGGCTAATGTTGAATCTATGGTACATTGTATTGATGGTTTTGTTATTGGACATGTGCAAGAAGATGTCTCGTTGAATGGAAAACAAGGCTTTCATGTTGATATTCCGGACAAGATTCCATTGAGAGAGAGAGGGTATTACTAGGAATGGCAACGGGGCGGGTTCGGGGTGGGGAGTACATTTCCCACCCCCAAATCACCCCCATCCCCATCCCCGATCCCCGATGGGGAAAGAAATCCCCCCTCCATCCCCGATTCCGACGGGAATGAATTCCCCATCGGAGACCCAAATCCCCGAAACTAAGAGAGAGAGAGAGAGAGAGGATCGTTGGGACTTGGGAGAGTTTATGTCGATGATGACTGATGAGAGAGAGTCCGAAGGGTAACAGCGATGACGATGACGGTCGGCAACGATGATGAAGGTTGGCGGTCTGCGAATCGGCAACGAAGATGAAGTCTCTTCCTCAATTCTTTGGCCTCTCCTCTGTTCGATGTCTGACAGGCAAGTGGGCAGTGGTAACAGTCAAGTACAGCGATTGGCGGTCGGCGAATCGGCGACGAAGATGAAGCTAGGGTTTACTGGTTTTGTGGTTCAGTCGCCTCTCTTGAGTCTTCTCTGTCGAAGACAGAAGAATGAAGACTGGTAATTGGTTTAGTCGAGGGTTAAGGGTTTTCCAACTTTTCAAGTTTTCTTGATTTCTTCGAATTGTGTTTTAGACTTTTTGTTTTCAAGTCGGGGTAGGGATTGCATTCCCCGTCCCCATCCCCATCACCACCCCGATCTTATCGAAGGGCTTTAATTTCTCTCCCTAACTGTTTCTCGACTTCTTGTCTAAACTCCTTGAACTTTTCAAATGATTCAGACTTATGTCTCATTAGGTACATGTAACCATACCAAGAATAATCATTGGTAAAGGTTATGAAATAACCATGTTGATTACGTGTCCTAACATTCAAGGGACCACATACATCAGTATGTATTAGGTCAAATGTGCCTGTAGATCTTTCAAGCTTACCGTTAAATGGCCATTTCGTCATCTTACCTTGAAGGCAAGGTTCACAGGTTAGAAGATCTTCCAGAGTTAGAAAATTCAAAGGACTATCCTTTACCAACCTTATGATACGATCTATGTTAATGTGGCCAAGTCAATAATGCCACAGGCACGTGGGACTAACTATATCACGGATTCTTTTCTTGGGGGTTACTTTTGACGTAGTTTCGGTAATGTTGGTTTCTAGAGAGGGATGGAGAACATAGAGACCATTCTCAAATTCCCCATATGCTACGAATTTGTTATTCCGTTTAATAGTAATCACAGTACTAAACAAAATAGTTGCAGAGGTCCCCAAGTAAAGTGTCACTTCTCCATCACTAAGTCTTCTGCTTATCTTAAACCCCTGTAGTGAGTTACACGCATGAGTCAAAGCCCCAGAGTCAATACACCAGGAAGCAGAAGTGACCAATAGATTGGTCTTTATGATGAAAGAATTAAACATACCTTGTTTCTTAGTCTCCATGTATTTAGGACAATTCCTCTTCTAGTGGTCAGTCTGCTTGCAGAAGTGACAAGCATCCAATGCCTTGTCTTTCTTTTGATTTTTGGTTTTGCTACCCTTCTTTTGAGCCTTCCTTTTAGCCTTCTGTTTTTTCTTGCCCGATTTGCCACCTTCAATAAGCATGGTTATCGGCTTATCCTTCTTAATCAGTTCTTCAACCCTCTACAACATATTGCTGAGTTCCTAAAGGCTAACATTTATCTTATTCATGTTGTAATTCATGATAAACTGATTGAAGGGCAGAGGCAAGGAATTGAGAATAGCATTAATTTTGGTGTCATGATCTAGCCCTAACCCGAGAGCCTTTAGTTCATTGATATAACCCATCATCTTTAGATAATGGTCATGAGCTTGTTGGTTCTCAATCATTTGTGCGGTTATAAATAATTTTAAGACCTTCTATCGAGTAGAATGATTATGCTCTTTGTACAGTCTTCAGACTATCCAATATATCCTTGGACACTTCGATCTTATTGAATTGTTGATGTATCAGATTGTCTAAAGAGGCTATAATATAACACCGGGCCAGAGAATTTTTCTCTTCCCATTCTTGATACTCTCTCCTTCGGGCCTCAGAAGCCTTGTCACCCGAACGATCCGGAGTAGGGTTCTTATCAATTTTGTCCAATTTCTCGGATGTTAGAACCAGCATAAGGTTTCGAAACCAGTAAGCATAATTAAGGCCCTTGAGTTTGTTATCATCCAACAACTTGGTGAAGTTTCCGTTTGCCATTTCTGGTAAAGGCAAAACAAATTTATAAGTCGACAACCTAAATTGATTCATGTAATCACATAAAAAGGGCTTTTAATCTTTGTTCCATTTCCATTTTGGGCATCTCTGAGATTCCCTCCAATCTCAATGACGGAGATAGTTGTGTCTCTGGAAATGTGGGAAACCACATGGGGTGCATGGTGCCAACTGTTTCAGCTGCAAAACCCCACCACCTTCTGTGAAGCATCTCATCCACTCATCTTATGGGCTTTCCCTTTGGCTTCTGTCAGACAAGGTTCATAGCCATTTTAGGTTAAACCTTTCTGTCCAATAAGTGCTCACCCATCATGTTTATGAACGCCAAGGTACCGTTAGAGAGTCTTCCATTTTAAGATAGACCCCTCCCACATCGGTCTATGATGCCCCTATCATCTTATGAAGCAATCTAGCCGACTGCATTAGCATATGGATAGCCCAATTTTATGGTGCATTTCCACCCACCAATACAACCAACCTTCATACTAATGATGGAAGGCCTTTAGAGAATCATATGAAATTCCCTATCACATGCACTTATATTTACTGGAAGTAACAAAAAAGGTTAACTCCCTAGATCTGATTTAGGTCAAACCAAAGTGGGTCCCACTGACTTTCATAAAGCCAGATTCAAAGTGGGCCCAAAACGGCTAGGGTTTCAGGGTGTTCCTCTTGGGGAGAAACTAAAGCGGGCCCCACTTAGAAGAGAGATCATCCAATGATCTTAAGGACACCATGGCAATGATGTGCATTCAGCCATGGTGTTCGAAAGAGCCACTATCGAATTGACATGGGCCAAGTGCTTATGGCCCATGTACGCATCACATCACATACATCACATGCATGAACATCCACAATTGATCCAATCAATTAAATAACTGTAAAACCCATAATTAAAATTTAAAACCTTTTTAGCCCATTTAAAGCCCATGATACTATCAAATAATATTATCTAGGTATATGAGCTGAACTGCAAAGAACAGTTCGGTCCATATAGCATTTATGTTGAATTGGGCTAAAGCAATTTTAACAAATTAAAACAGGGTTTTACAAAGATGGGCCGAATTGCATCTTGCAATTAGCCATCAAAACTTCAGCCCATATATGGAATTTCAGGAC